TTAGTGTTGCTGTAAAGGAATACCCGAGACTGGGTAATTTATAAAGAAAAACGGTTTATTTGGGCCATGATTCTGATGTCTGGAAGTTCAAGATTGGGCATCTGTATTTGGTGAGGGCCTCAGATTGCTCCCAATCATAGTGGAAGGTGAAGAGAAGCTGGTTTGTGCAGAGATAATGGCAAGAGAAGAGGAAAGAAAAGAGGTTAGGTGCCATGCTCTTTTTAACCAGCCCTTGTGGGAACTAAGAGTGAAAATTCATTTGCCCCTGAGGGAGGGCATTAATCTATTCATGAGGCATCCACCCTGATGACCCAAACACCTCCCATTTGGCCCCACCTCCAATACTGGGGATCAAATTTTAACATAAGGTTCAGAGGGGACAAACATGCAGACTATTGCAGTGTGCCTCGGCCTGAATTAGTTTGGGTTTATCCTGTTATGAGTTTGTTCAGCCTCTTGAATCTGTAGGTTTATCCCTGGTTCAAATTTGGGGAGTTTTCAGCTGCTGTTTCCTTCGGTACTTTCTTGTCTTGTTGTCTTCCTCTTCTTCCAGGAATTTGCTGATGCAAATGTTAAACCTTTTGTTATAATCTCACAAGTCCCTGAGGCACTATGCTCATTTTTCTCCCAGTCTATTTTGTTTGTTTTTCAGATTGATTTTTTTTTAAACAGGGTCTCACCCTGTTGCTCAGGCCGGAGTGTCCTGGCACAATCTCCAGTCATTACAACCTCTGCCTCCCAGGTTCAAGTGATTCCTGTGCCTCAGCCTCCCAAGTAACTGGGATTACAGGTGTGTGCCACCACACCCAGTTAATTATTATTTTTTTTTTTTTAAGATGGAGTTTTGCTCTTGTTCCCAAGGCTGGAGTGCAATGGCACAATCTTGGCTCACTGCAACCTCTGCCTCCTGGGTTCAAGCGATTCTCCTGCCTCAGGCTCCCGAGTAGCTGGGATTACGCGCATGCGCCACCACACCCAGCTAATTTTGTATTTTCAGTAGAGACAGGGTTTCTCCATGTTGGTCAGGTTGGTCTGGAACTCCTGAAGTCGTGATCCGCCTTCCTTGGCCTCCCAAAGTGCTGGGATTACAGGTGTGAGCCACCGTTCCTGGCCTGCATTTTTAGTAGAGATGGAGTTTCACCATGTTGGCTAGGCTGGTCTTGAACTCCTGGCCTCAAGTTATCTGCCTGCTTCAGCCTCCCAAAGTGCTGGGGTTACAGGTGTGAGCCACTGCGCCAGGTCCACACTGAGTACTTTCTACTGTTCTCTTTTAGTTCACTGATTCTTTCCTCAGGGGATAGCCTCATTACCACTCACTGAGTTTGGGTGAAAGTTCTGACTCTTTGTTAAGTTTCTTCTGATATCACCCCAACAGTAAAGGGGAGAGATAACTCCTAATAGACTTGCTGGTGGTGAACGTCTAGGCACCCCATTAAGTCTTTACTGGAGTAGGAGAGGACACGTCACAGTTTGTTTTTGTGGCATTTGGCTGGAATAGAGCAAATATTGTCTAAAATTTTTCTGTTTTCCCGGACTGCCTCATTCCTGATCCTTTGGCTGTGGAGAACAGGCTTTTGTTAGGGATTTTCTTGGCTGCTCCTATTGGCATTTCCAGGTTGCTGCTGCCTCAGCTCCAAGTATGGGGTATTTGGCAAAAAGAGAGTCCACAGGAATCAGCATTGTGTCCTGCCTTTGCTTCTAGGGCTCCTAGCTGGTCTACCTCCTCTCCACATTTCAGTCTTCTTAGGGTTGTTTTATATGTGATGTCCAAGGTTTTCCACTACATTTTCCTCTCTTGAAGTGTTTTGTTGTTTGGAGACAGAGTCTTGCTTTGTTGCTAGGCTGGAGTGCAGTGGCCGGATCTCGGCTCACCCTATCCTCCACCTCCTGGGCTCAAGAGATTATCATGCCTCGGCCTCCCAAGTAGCTGGGATTATAGGCATGAGCCACCACGCCCAGCTTACGTGTATTTTTATATTTTCAATACCTGCTCTGGCACATGATCTGTAAATGTTTTTAAAAAGGAAAATAGGCTGGGCGCGGTGGATCACGCCTGTAACCCCAGCACTTTGGGAGGCCAAGACGGGCCGATCACCTGAGGTCAGGAGTTCAAGACCAGCCTGACCAACATAGCAAAACCCTGTCTCTACTAAAAATACATAAATTAGGGCTGGGTACGGTGGCTTGCGCCTGTAATCCTAGCACTTTGGGAGGCCAAGGCGGGTGGATCACCTGAGGTTGGGAGTTTGAGACCATCCTGACCAACATGGAGAAACTCCATCTATACTGAAAATTCAAAATTAGCCAGGCATGGTGGCACATGCCTGTAATCCTGGCTACTCAGGAGGCTGAGGAAGGAGAATTGCTTGAACTCAGGAGGTGGAGGTTGTAGTGAGCCAAGATTGTGCCACTGCACTCCAGCCTTTGTGTGAGAGAGAAGTTCTGTCTCCAGGAAAAAAAAAAACAAAAAAACAAAAAACAAACAAACCACTACCACCACCACCAACAAAATTAGCCGGGCTGGTGGCATGCTCCTGAAGTCCCAGCTACTCAGGAGCCTGAGGCAGGAGAATCGCTTGAACTTGGGAAGCGGAAGTTGCAGTGAGCCGATTGAGCCCGCTGCACTCCAGCCTGGGCGACAGAGGGAGACTCTGTCTCCAAAAAAAGGGAAAAATAGAACTGAATGAAGTGAATGAATCACACTGCTTCCTCATCCACCTTAAGGTATGTAGTGCTGGAAAGAGGAGGATGCTTAATCCTGTTTTCGTGCTTTGAAGAGATTCCTACTGATGCTTTGATATCGAGAAAGGTGGCTAGCTCCCTCCCAAAGCTCATATTGTCCTTCCTTGGTTCTCTCTCACAAAAACTTACCAGCAGGTGGCAGAATAATTGATGAAAAGTACTGTTGTCCAAAACAGGAGGCTGATTTCCTCTGAGACGTAGAACCTCGTAGTCACCCTGGGTAAGATCCCGAGATGTTGTTCTGAAGGTTAGATGCTTTTTGTTTTTCAGCTTTGGGCCACAGGTAGCTGTCCAGTGAAAACAGCCAGAGTAAAAGGAAGAGAGGGGTCTGTTAGTTTCCTTGGTGTCATGACAACAGGACTCTTGTTGTCTTTGGTCCCAAATGTCCAGCATTTAGTGAACTCATCTTACTAATGTGTAGGATTTAAACCCATAGAAAGGTGGAAACTGAATAAGTGGAAGACTTAAACAACGTTTAAATCTTGAATAACGATTCTTAAACACCGTCTTAACATTGATACTTAAAAAGCAAAACAAGACAAGGTTCGGTGGCTTATGCCTGTAATCCCAGCACTTTGGAAGGCCGAGGTGGGAGGACTGCTTGAGCCCAGGAGTTTGGGACCAGCCTGGGCAATATAGTGAGGCCTAGTGTCTCCACCATCACACACACAAAATTAGTTGGGTGTGGTGGCCAGAACCTGTATCCCAGCCACTCATGAGGCTGAGGTAGGAGCTCACCACTGCACTACAGTCTGGGCAACAAAGTTGGACCGTGTCTCAAAACAACAACGAGAATCCCCCCAAACTTCATATCTCATCATCCATATTTTTTTCTGTCAGGCCCTGCTAATATACACACATCATTGATGTATATATGTATTTCATTGATGAAATTCAGTCTTTCAATTTTTAAATTCATTATCAAAAGTATTTTTTGATGTAAGAGTGTGTTTAGGGCAGGTGTGGTTGCTTTTTTTTTTTTCTCTTTCTTTCTTTTTTTTTTTTTTTTTTACCTCCAGTAATGGCTATAAGCAGGTGGGGTTGCTTTTAAAAATTTCTGCTTGAGGCTGGGCGCCGTGACTCACGCCTGTAATCCCAGCTCTTTGGGAGAGGCCAAGGCGAGTGAATCATGAGGTCAGGAGTTTGAGACTAGCCTGGCCATCATGGTGAAACCCTGTAGCTACTAAAATTACAAAAATTAGCCAGGTGTGGTGGCACGTGCCTGTAATCCCAGCTGCTCAGGAGGCTGAGGCAGGAAAATCACTTGAACTCAGGAGGCAGAGGTTGTGGTGAGCTGAGATGGCGCTATTGCACTGCAGCCTGGGCAACAAGCGAGACTCCGTCTCAAAA